ACTATTATCCCAAAACCCCAAAACCCCAAAACCCCTAATGTATCTAATAAGGGGAATTAGTGTAGAATAAAAACATTTTGAATGAGAAATGCAATTTAAATTTTTATTAATATCTTCAAGCATTTATCTTAGACACCCTCCAGTGACATCGAATAGTGGGTAATTGGGATAATAGTCTAGGGAATCAAGGAGTGACTTTTTTAATGTTGACAGTCGTATCTATCTATTTATGGAACGAAGTACCCCACTTTCTTGGAGATTTAATTATCTAAGTTGCTCTTGTTTCACTTATCATCTACGATGTAGGTTGAGAAAAAATTGCAAGGTCTAAAGCGAAATAAAAAATTTCTGCTGAATTTCTTCTATATGCTGATAGCTTTTTGCAGAGTCTAATAAAATATTCGAACTATTTGATTTTTACAATCCATTGAGCATTCTCTTCACATAGTATTGTCTTAAACTTCCCTATTAAAATATCAAATCTATATAAGCTTAAATGTTAACTAAAATACCTACTTTATTACTCTGAGTTAAGCTAAAATTTTTGATTTTTGTAGTAAACTTTCCCTGGTAGCACCTAAGTTAAAATCTGATAAACAAGTAAGAGATTTGACTCTTTATTATAAATGGAGTACTCAGGAATGTTTCAAATTTGAAATTATGTTATTGAAGTCAAATATTGTTCAGTAGTATGAATAATTAAAGGATAAATGTTATTTACCGTCTGTCTTTCCGCTTTTCTATTTGGATCCATTTCTCATCACTATAAAGATGAGGTTTCTAGTACTAGGAAAGATATGTCTCCCTAAATTTTAACGGGAACATGCTAAACTTGTAAGATACTCGGATTTTAAAATTAGCACTCAATTGGTTAAGCAATTTTATATTAGTGAGGCACCGGCTATTTAGTAGGTTTATATAATACCAAGTAACAGTTCAAATATTAATAAGAAAGCTCAGAGCTTATAAGCTTATAGTTTATTTGGATATTAGGATCCCGATCGATAATTAATAAACGTAATAATAAAAATATGGAATCACTACTTGATGAAACACAAACAAGACCGCTAAAATTTAAATAGAGCTCCTCAATATAAATAGAAATATTCAAATAGCATTTATCTGAAGGGACTGAGACATTGACAACTTGCGAGTCCCCAATTGTTAGAGAAAGTCGAGGAAGTGAAGACTTTGAAGACAGTACAATAAACCACTTTTCAATATATAATAATCTTAACAGATCTGAGAAGATATAGATGCTATCTGAGGAAGAGCTACTGTAAATGGAGAAAAGAATTTTCCAATTCCTAGATCAAAATAAAATAAAACCAATTGATATACACGATGAATTACGAATGACAAATGCCGGCAGGCCCTCATTTAAAAATCTAAGCTAAACAGCTATGAGGAAGACGTCTTCTCTTTTGGAAAGGAGAAAATTCAATCTTCATCAAAAACCAGCTTCATAAATATACGAATGAATAGGAGATATCCCAGAAAAAAATGTAAATAAAAGGTTTATGCTATTCTAAATATCAATTTCTCGTGCATTAATTTATAATTTTAAATCATTCTTACTCATCTGATCTAATACATTTTAGCAGGGTTTTGGGGTTTTGGGGTTTTGGGGTTTTGGGG